GGCCGGCCGACCAGCTCAGGAGCAGGAGCTGCAGCAAAGGCCCTGGCTGGTGGTTCACCGTCGGCACACTGATTGCTCCGGGCCCTGGCGGGGACACCGTTATCGGCACTCCCGGGCCTCCTGGCATCAGAGGGGACGTCACCGTTTTCCAGCTGGGGAACCGGCAGACGCTGCTGCTGCTGGAGCTGCTGGTCAGGCGCAGATGCAGGCACTGGAACCAAGGCGGCATCGGTGCACAGGCCGACCCGCTCCGAAACAGGACCTGGAACCAGATCAGGAACAGACACAGGGACAGGGACAGAGACAGGCACCAAGGGGGTGTCGGCAGGTACACCACCGTGCCCAGGCCGGAGGGCCTGTGGAGACTGCATCTCTGAAACTGGCTGAGGCAGCTGCAGCCGGCGTGATGCTGGCTGAGGCGGCCGCTGATGGGCTGCTGGCCTTTCCTTTCTCTTTTATGAAGTGTCCATCCATCCATCCATTTTCTTCCGCTTATCCGGGGCCGGGTATGAAGTGTCTTATTACTTAAGTTTTATTAAGAGCTATAAGTCATTTCACTGGCAGACTGTCATGATTCAGTCGCACCTGTTTCCATTCTCGTGCTTTTATTTTGACATTGCTTCCTGTTTTTGTTTTCACCACAGTCCATTTTACTTTAGTCATCACTCACATTAGTTTCACCTGCTCCTGAGTGTTTGCACCTGTTTTCACCCCTATTTAGCCAGCGTCCTCCCACCGGGATGCTGCCAGATTGTTCTAGACTCCAGCTCTGACTCTCCAGCGCTTTTGGTTTTTGGTATTTCCTGTTCTGACCCGGATTGTGTACTTTGACAATTCTGTTCTGCCTTGCCCTCTTGCTTCAGACTGCCTACTGTGTATGAATTATCGGCCTCTCCTTTCTGACATCCCGTTTGGATCCCTTTGATGTATGTGTTTGCTGGCTCTGACCCTGGACTGTAGTATAAATCAACCTGTAAGTGCATTTTGTATTTACACCATGTCTTGTATCGTTTTTTTTGTTTGTCTGTGCTCTTATTAAAGAGACGGTTTTGTTTTATGTATCCTCGTCTGGCAATTGAATTGAGTTCACCACGACATTATCGGCAGCTTCACGTGCCATTCCTGACACAGACTTCACCAATTTTCACCAAGATCTGCTGTTCCAAAAGCCTATGCCATGCAAATAATATGAAATAATCACACAAATATTCAACATGACTTCACATAATCCAGGCAATACTCTATGGTCAGTGGACTTACAAGTGTGTCAGCATCCAAAAAGACACACTTGCTGTACTGGGTCAAAGTCCAGCAGTGAATCTTAGTAAAGGTGATGCCAAGCTCAGGACGTCCCAGCAGGGACAGGTGGAGATGGTCCTCACTGTCCATTACATTCACCACAATGACCTCATCAAACACACTCTCCAGAGCAAGCCTGTTGGGCAAGGATTCAACTGGTGAATATACAGCATAAAGAATACACAAACACCACTCTTGGAACAAATTTAGGACCCACCTTGACTGTTGAGAGACATTTGGTGTAACCATGACAACAATGTTGCGAGTCATCCCGTGCCGCTGTAAGCTCCTGGCCACCACTGTAGCTCCCATGCAATAGGAGTCTGTGGTGGCCATTGTGACAAAGGCTTCACCTGCTACAGAAAGACCAGGTGACAGGGTTTTACTGAGTCAAGACTGATTCGATTAAGTTTACCTTGTTACAAATAGTTATGCAGCAGTACACAAAAATCACGGTTTGGTATGTACCTTGGTTTTGAAGTCATGTGTAGTGGTTAAAAACAAACAAGTTCCAGGTTGAAATGTAATATGTAATAGAATATAGTAGGAGTGTGTAGATACATATACACCGGACAAAATTATAAACGCAACACTTTTGTGTTTGCCCCCATTTTTCATGAGCTGAACTCAAAGATCTATGACTTGTTCTACGTACACAAAAGTCCTATTTTCTCATATTGTTCACAAATCTGTCTAAATCTATGTTAGTGAGCACTTCGCCTTTGCATATCAACATGCTGATTAGACAGCATGATTATTGCACAGGTGTGCCTTAGGCTGGCCAGAATAAAAGGCCACTCTAAAATGTGCAGTTTTATCACACAGCACAATGCCAGATTTTGCAAGTTTTGAGGGAGCGTGCAATTGACATGCTGACTGCAGGAATGTCCACCAGTGACATGCCCATGAATTAAATGTTCATTTCTCTACTATAATCCATTAATTCACATCGTTCCCTAACAACCACACATGGTTTAGTTTTTTTGTTTTTTTTTTGTACAGTAAGTGAAAAACTGCATCAGAAAATTGCTTGTCATTTATTATGAAGTTTTGTAAAAATCAAATTTTAATTAAATTTTACATAAAATATATACAAGAAATCAAATACTGCTGCAAATTACTACTAATATGTGCCCCCATAACCAGGGAAAGATTGATTAAATGTACTGTTTGTACTCCTTTCTCTTTGCATTCAACTGTTTGCTTGGTGCCATCTTAAATGAGTTAGCAAGCTTGATGTGTTGCCAAAAATATACCTGAATGAATATATTAAGTGGTGGACTGGAGCTCAATAAACAAATAAAATGTCTTATGCACTTGTCTGTGTTTGATGTTGTATTTTTATAGAAGTACATCCTTGCCAAAGCAGTTGAGGCTGCAAAAACCACAGAGCAAGGAAGAATTGCTGCTGTTGGCTCAAATCATTGGTTACACTTATGACTCTGCCCTCACTCTCAAATCTGTTTCTGCTCTGTGCCAGCATTGTCTCAAATTGTGATTTGCAAACTGAATAGTGCTCAAAACCTGCTTTGTAAGCTTTCAAAACTTTTGGCACAGACAAATGAGGCTCCAAAATAAACCCGTCAGGCTGCTCTCTCTGCCTCACCACCAGCCAATCACACTCATTCTTCAAAGACTGGGCATACTGTGATACCAAGCTGTAAGGTCATTCACACACTTCCTAAAATGGTTTAGCAATTTACATAAAGTACAGTTTAATACAATTTATATAGCTTACAGTACATCCATAATAATTTCCCCAGGAAGTGTCCTACAAAAATATATTTTGGTTATAAAAATAGACATTGTAAATATGTAATTAACCCTGAGATTATTTTAGCCAGCACAAAGCATTTCTGCTGAACGTCCACAAATGTGAAATTTGTCTCCAGACAATCAATATATAAGGTTTACAATAACAGTTATTGTGGAGCTTATCTTTCAAGTCCATTCTATAATAAAACAGTCACACAAAAGTTAACTAATGTTTTTTTTTATGCTTTTATTAAGACTGCACAATCTGTACAATCATGCAGATGATTAGGCGTGCAGTCATGACAGATGTGTCACAACTTTATGTTCCTGGCCTGCGGTCAGCTACAGAGGCATGTAACCTTTTGTCTGCAACCATCTCTGGGATGTGTGTAGTGTTACATTTTAACTGGTACATGAGCATGGTAGTATGGAGGAGCATGGAGTCTGTTCTAATTTTAGACAGGGTCACTACAGTGTGTGGATCATAATTTTGCTCTCATGGTTCAGAGCTGAAATAGTGAGGTAATTTTGGGAAGCTCATCTTTTATTTATTACACTTATTTAACCTGCTTAGAGAAGGTCAGTCAGATATGAATTTTTCTCCTCCACAGAGCTCAGTAATATTATCTGTCATATACAAACCCCAGCTCCAGTGAAGTTGGGACATTGTGTAAAATGTAAATAAAAACATAATACATTGACTTGCAAATCCTTTTTGACCCATATTTAATTGAACACACAAGGACAAGATATTTAATGTTCAAACTGATAAACATTCTTGGTTTTTGCAAATATTCACTCATTTTGAACATGCAACATGTTCCAAAAGAGCTGGGACAGGTGCAACAAAAATCTGGGAAAGTTGAGGAATCCTCAAAAAACACCTGTTTGAAACATTCCACAGGGAAACAACATTAGGGTTGGCTACTCTCTCGCCAAGCAGTGAGAGAGGAAAAAATAGGCTGGACCCAGAGAGCAGTGTATTGACTCAGGTTATGGTGGTTTATTACAGTTCAGAGATTCAACAGATAGATGGTGGGAAGATGAGGTGCTTGCTTCGACCCAGGCTGATGAAGGCAGAAGATTGGGCCTCGATCCGTTCTGCTCTGTTACTCTCACTGGTCGTTACCCTGGCAGTAGAGGCAGAACGGCCAAACTCTAGTCCCGGGGAGTGAGCACAAGACAGAGTGAGGGTTAGCAGAATAGGTGTTAGACTCACGAAGTGCAGGGTTAGGCTGGAGGTTGCTGCTGAGGTGTGGCTGGAGAGGCCCAGGCAGGATGGTGTCGATGCAGGAGAGCCGCTACAGAGGTAGCGTAGCTGAGAGGCTCGAGCTAGCTGAGATGCAGCCCAGGAGACAAAGGACGACTTGGATATGAGTTGAATAGAAGATAGTAGCTTCTTCATGGTAGGGGTTGAAACGAACTGGCAACGTCTGCATGTCTGAGCAGCTCCTAAATACTTGGTCCTGTAATCAGCTGATTCACATTAGCTGCGAGCTCTGCTGGGAGTGTGTCTGTAGAGAGAGAGAGAGAGAAAGAGAGGAGAGCAAGAGAAGCAGGAGGTGACAAGGCACCCATGGCACTCAAGGCGATCCATCCAGCTTGATAGGGTGACTGTGGAACACTGCACAATCCAGAAAGGCCAGACAGTCATCTCTGGCGTCCTCATGAGTGAATTTGATGTTGTCTTCCACAGAAGACTTGGTGAAAGCTTCTACCTCCTGGGTCCTGATTTTAACCCATGTGTCATCCACGTAGCGGAACCAGTGGCTGGGAGCGGTGCCAGTGAAGGAAGCCAGGGCTTTCTCTTCCATGTACAGGTTGGCAACTATAGGAGACACTGGGGAGCCCATAGCTTAGAAGCTTCCAGTTTAGAAGTGCCCCCTAAACTGGAAGTAGGTAGTGTTTAAACAGAGTTCCAGCAGAGTGCATACATGGTCTGGGGTGAGGCTAGTCCTGTTGTTTAGTGTGTCATCCTTCAGCAGTCTCTTCTTCACTGCCCTGACAGCCTCTGTGGTGGGGATGCAAGTGAATAAGGATGTGACAACCATGTTTGGGTCCAAGATGTGGGAGCGAGGGATCCAGGATCCAAGATGTGCCGGATGGAGTATGCTGGGCCCCCTTCTACCTCGATAGCAGGAGGAGGGAGTGAGGGCAGAGAGCAAAGAGGGCTGGAGGAAACCGGTTTGATTTGGGATACATGAAAAACCGGGTGAACCGAGATAGCCAGAGGCAGACTGCTATGGGATGAATGACTTCAGATATGACAAAGGGCCCCAGGTAATGTGGTGCCAACTTACGAGGAGCTTCTTTCAGAGGAAATGTGTTCATACGATAACCAGATTTTCTGTCCTGCCACGTAAGTTGGTGCAGCCCATCAACGGCTGGCAGATAGGTGGTGGTTTTGTTCTGATGTGCAGGTAAGGGTGGCCACAGTCTCCTTATACACTTGTTGGCAGCGGCAGATATGGGCCTGAATGGACGGGACTGCCATGTCTGTTTCCTCCTCTGCCAGTAATGGTGGTTGATATCCCAGGGAGGCCTCAAAGGGGGACAGTCCAGAGGCTGAGCAGGTGAGTGAGTTGTGAGAGTATTCTATCCATGGTAGCAGAATGCTCCATGAACTGCGCTTGGTTCCTGTGATGTAGCAGAGCGCGTTCTTTAACTCTTGATTGAGCCTCTCTACTTGCCCATTTGTCTGTGGGTGAAAGCCAGAAGATGGATTTTGCCCCAATAGCAGAACAGAAGGCTGACCATACCTGAGATATGAACTGTGGTCTGCAATCAGAGACAATGTCAGATGTAATGCTGTGGAGGCGGAACACATGTTGGACCAGGAGCTCAGTGGTTTCATGGGCTGAGGGTAGTTGAGGCAGGGCAACAAAGTGGGCAGCTTTGGAGAACCGGTCTATGATAGTGAGGATGATGGTGTGACCATGAGACGGGGGCAGCCCTGTTACAAAATCAACTGCTATATGGGACCAAGGGCGGCTAGGTATGGGCAAGGGATGGCAGGTCGCTGGTGGGAGTTTTTGGATTGGGCACATACAGTACAAGCTTGGACAAATTCTCTGGTGTCTTTATCCAAGGTGGGCCACCAGAAATGTCGCTTGAGCAATGATGTGGTGCAGTGGATTCCAGGGTGGCATGCACAATGAGAGTGCCCACTGTAGGACCTGGGATTGGACTGGATTAGGTACAAAAAGCTGGTCCAGTGGTCCGTCCCCTGGGTCTCGGTGAGTCTGTTGAGCTGTTCTGATAGTTTCCTCAATCTCCCATGAAACTGCAGCCACAACACAGGATGACAGTAAGATGGTGTCTGGGGTTTCTGTGTCGATGGAGGGACTGAACTGATGGGAGAGAGCATCTGGCTTCTTGTTACATGCTCCGGGGTGATAAGCAAGGGTAAACCGGAATGAGCCAAAAAAGAGGGCCCAGCAGCCTTTCCTTGGGTTGAGTCTCTTAGCAGACTGAAGGTGGGCTAGGTTTTTATGATCTGTTGAAACCACAAATGGCTGCTCCACACTCTACTACAGGGGTGTACACGATTTTTCAGTATGCGAGCTACTTATAAAATGACCAAGTCAAAATGATCTACCCACTATAAAAATGCAAAACATATATTTATTTATATTGCACAACATAACTGTACATTTTTTGTCATTACCTCACTCTGATGACTTGCACTGAATGGAATCAGCCAGGCATGCATAGTCCAGACAGTAGCTGCTGATAGTCAGCCTCAAGCACACTTCCAATCGATCATCAGTCAAGGTGGAATGGTATTTGGACTTAATAATCTTCATGTGGGAAAAGGCTGACTCGCATAAATAAGTGGAGCTGAATAATGCAGTCAAGGAGGTAGCACATTTCCTCATGTACTTTTCCTCTGTAAGTTCCAGAACTGTCCATGAGCCCTGGACTTAAGCTGAATGTGTTGCAATTTCTGATGTGAATCAACCTCAGCATTTTCCCAAAAAGGGTAGCACATGAATGTAGCGACTGGCTCCAGTAAAACAAAGTCTTGAAAGTGTTTGTCAAACTCTGACAGACAGTTCTCAATCTGCTCTGTGTAGCATGCACTGTCAAATTGCACACATGCCTTGCCTTGCATCTCCAGCTCTGATGCGAGGTTCTGGAAGTTTGCATTTTCCGTTTGAAAGCATTAACTGAGCTGATCATATTGATTACGGTTTTGTCTTTTCCTTGTAGCTCTACATTAAGGTTATTCAACATGTTGGTCATCTTGGTTAAAAATGTTAAGTCTAGCAGCCACTGATTGTCATTTAGTTGGTTGTATTCTGCATGTTTAGCTACACAAATAAACTCCTTAATCTCCAGACAGAGCTCTCAAAATCTTTGCAGGAATTTCTCTCGACTAAGCCATCTCACGTCAGTGTGTAGCAACAACTCCGAGTGGTTGCAGTCAGCCTTCTCCAGATGCACATGAAATAGCCATCTTTGAAGAGATCTGGCGCGAATAGAACAGGCAATCCTCATTGCCACATCCATTATCTCTTTCATGTTGAGCATTTTTGCACATAACGCTTGTTAGTGTATTATGCAGTGGTAATTGAGGAAGTCTGGGAAAGCATCGTCCTCCCTGCACTTGGCAATAAATCCATTTGAGCAGCCAACCATTGCAGGCGCTGCGTCCGTGGTGATGGACACCAATTTGCACACTGGGAGCTGGGTTTTCGCAATAAAGTTTTTGAACGACTGAAAAATGTCCTCTCCTCCCATGTGTTCTTTCATGGGCAGTACTGTTAACAGCTCCTCTTTTGCAGTCATATTGTGAAACACCATCCCAATAAAAATGCACAACTGGGCTGTGTCTGGGCTGTTCTGCCTGACTCTTTGATGTCAGTACTGTTGGTTCCTATGGTAAAGGATAAAGCAGGGTAGGTGGGCAGCTCCGAGAATTATAGACCTATTGCACATGCTAATATTCTTTCAAAAGTTGCTGAAGAACTTCTTTTGAATAGGTTTCAGAATCTTATTAGCTCTACTGCAAACCAATTTGGGTTTAAAACTAGCCATGGCACGGACATGTACAGTATTGTTCAAAATAATAGCAGTACAATGTGACTAACCAGAATAATCCAGGTTTTTAGTATATTTTTTATTGCTACATGGCAAACAAGTTACCAGTAGGTGCAGTAGATTCTCAGAAAGCAAACAAGACCCAGCATTCATGATATGCACGCTCTTAAGGCTGTGCAATTGGGCAATTAGTTGAAAGGGGTGTGTTCAAAAAAATAGCAGTGTCTGCCGTTGACTGTACAAACACAAAACTATGTTGTACAAACGTTTTTGTTTCTAGGATTTAGCAATCCTGTGAATCACTAAACTAATATTTAGTTGTATGACCACAGTTTGTTATAACTGCTTCACATCTGTGTGGCATGGAGTCAACCAACTTGTGGCACCTTTCAGCTGTTATTCCACTCCATGATTCTTTAACAACATTCCACAATTCATTTACATTTCTTGGTTTTGCTTCAGAAACAGCATTTTTGATATCACCCCACAAGTTCTCGATTGGATTAAGGTCCGGGGATTGGGCTGGCCACTCCATAACATTAATTTTGTTGGTTTGGAACCAAGACTTTGCTCGTTTACTAGTGTGTTTGGGGTCATTGTCTTGTTGAAACAACCATTTCAAGGGCATGTCCTCTTCAGCATAAGGCAACATGACCTCTTCAAGTATTTTGACATATGCAAACTGATCCATGATCCCTGGTATGCGATAAATAGGCCCAACACCATAGTAGGAGAAACATGCCCATATCATGATGCTTGCACCACCATGCTTCACTGTCTTCACTGTGTACTGTGGCTTGAATTCAGAGTTTGGGGGTCATCTCACAAACTGTCTGTGGCCCTTGGACCCAAAAAGAACAATTTTACTCTCATCAGTCCACAAAATGTTCCTCCATTTCTCTTTAGGCCAGTTGATGTGTTCTTTGGCAAATTGTAACCTCTTCTGCACGTGCCTTTTTTTTAACAGAGGGACTTTGCGGGGGATTCTTGAAAATAGATTAGCTTCACACAGACGTCTTCTAACTGTCACAGTACTTACAGGTAACTCCAGACTGTCTTTGATCATCCTGGAGCTGATCATTGGCTGGGCCTTTGCCATTCTGGTTATTCTTCGATCCATTTTGATGGTTGTCTTCCGTTTTCTTCCACGTCTCTCTGGTTTTGCTCTCCATTTTAAGGCATTGGAGATCATTTTAGCTGAACAGCCTATAATTTTTTGCACCTCTTTATAGGTTTTCCCCTCTCCAATCAACTTTTTAATCAAAGTACGCTGTTCTTCTGAACAATGTCTTGAACGACCCATTTTCCTCAGGCTTTCAAATGCATGTTCAACAAGTGCTGGCTTCATCCTTAAATAGGGGC